AAATATAATAATATATATATATATATATATATATATATATATATATATATATTATAATATATATATACATTATCATTATTATTATCATAATTATCATTATTATTACTATAACCGTAAATATCTTTATCATCATATATCAATAATTACCTTCGATGTTATTCTTATCGTCATCTTCATCATCCTTTCCGCCGGCGTTCTTGAAACTGGGCTACAATTACCCCGTCACAACCTCCTCAAGACACCATTCTTATCGCCACTGTCTCCTTAAACAAAAGATGCGCCATTGTCACTGTCTGAATCTTGTCACTATCTCTCGTATGACATAATCAACTTCACTGTTCTCGTTTTCCATGAAAGTATGAAGCTATTATTGCGATAACTGATGTAAAAAAAAGGCATTAATATCTTACTACTCTTTCGTGTTCTTTCTCAGATGATACTCATCTTCGTCCTCGTATAACTGTTATTTTTGTTACTGTTGATATAGTGTATGGAATTTAGTGATCATACTCTCATGATGAACACGGGCAAAGGGGGGGGGGGTAGAGAGAGTACGAGTATGAGTAGAGAAGATTACATTTGGAGGATGAATGGGAATGTGGCCAGGTGGGGGGCTAAACGGGATATGTTATGAGTAAGAAAAATATGTACTGGTATGATGTGGTTTTAGATGTTAGTTAGATTTGTATTTTATCTTCATTAGTTTCTGCGTAGGCTGTTTTGAAGAATATTTTTTCTTTATTATCTAATCAATAAGTTATATATTCATGCATTTGTGCTTATCTATGTATCTAGTTGATACGCATACTTCATTCCCTATGATTAGATATATTAGAGTATCTCATGTAAAGTTTCATTATCTGGTAAATTTTCGATTTCATCATCATAATTTCCCCAAGCTCCCAGTGTCAGTATTTTGCCTAATACCGAATGCTGGATATTTGCAGTCTCTCAATAAGAGCTATGTTGGTTTGTTTGCGGCAAACACACTTTCGGAGCAGAAGGCGAACAATCTACCGTGCTATCAAGACTGCAGGAAATATGCATTTTGCGTACACTTTAGTCAGGTGCGTAATGTATTGTGCTATTGTTACACTGCATTGCCAAGCAGAAAATACGTATTTTGTGCAAAAGTCAATCTGATATTTCATGTAGTGTTTTGTCTTTACAAACTATAGCTAACAAAAAAGAGTTTCCATCGAACAATCGTGTGCGTTTATTGGGATGACGTATGCACTCTCTGCGCCATCAGTGCATCGGTTGTGAGAATCGGAAGCTGATGCTTATTCTGACTGTTTGTTAATTAGGCATATAATTTCCCTGCTTCAAGATCACTATGAACACGGAATCGTTATCTCTTAACTATACAAGGTTTATCTCATAACACAGGGACGAAAAAACAACAACTTACTGTATGGGTACGTTGCCCTGACGTCATTATATGCGTCTGTTAGTGACAGTCGAGAAACCCTATGAAATGTCTCCCGTTTTATTTCGAAGCGGCATCCATACTTATGCAATTTGTCTCGTCACCCTATGTACCCTAAAATTACCACACATGGGCAATTGCTTCTTATGGCCAGCACGGGTTGTAACGATCAGAGCCACGCCTATAAACTGCCTCTCAGCTGATTTTGCTTGACGGAGCCGAAACACAATCCATACATTAGTTTTATCAAATTACGAGGCAGGCCGCAGACAGAAATTAATGCTGACTTTACAGAGTTTGTGATACTTTGTAGCCAATTTTTAACTGATTCTAAAATGATTTTAAACTTGATAGAGATAGAGGGCTATTTTTTTTTTTTTTTATAAGGTCGTGAAAAGGTTACTGCAGAAAACTTAAAATGACGTAACATCAACCGCAGGTGAAATAAACTCCACCCTCGACTTGTGCATAAGTTATCTCTTTCCGAGATTGTTGGTGGGAATATTGCTTTTAAAACCCAAGTATGTATATTTCGTGTGTTATTTTGATATTTCAAGGACTGTTATGATTTGTACTTTATAAAAAGACATTTCCACATGTCTGGCATCACTGAAGAGGGCCTGCCTGCCTTGGAAAGCGTTTTAAGCAGGGAACGGTACAGCGCTTGGCAAGAATTCTTGCCAAGCGCTCCCCTGCTTAAAACGCTTTTAGAATGACGTAACGTGTTGACGAAGCAGGTAATAAATGAAAATAAGAATGGTGATGATGGTAATAGTAGTAATAATAATATTAATGACGATAACGATAAAGGCAATGGTAATGATTATAATAATTAGAAAAAAATATAATGATATTAATGATAAAAATAATCGCAATAATGATAATACGATGAAAACAAATGATAATAATAATGATGAAAATAATAATTCTAATGATAAAAACAAAAATAATGATAATGATAATAAGATAACAGCAACAATAACAAGACCAACAATAATGATAGTAAGAATTGTTATCTGTAAATATGTATTATTACTTGCTAAATTCTCTTTGTCACGATTTACGTGTGAA